GCCTCAGCTCATCTGGCAGCTGTTGCTATGGATACAGAGCTGGGCTATTGCTGTGATACAAGCCACATCCCATCGAGGAGAACGGGGAGTAGTGCTGAGCTCAGAGATAGTCTTCTTCTCAGACACACACACACACACACACTGTGTGTGAGACCCTCTTGTTATATCGAGAGGCTCAAAGACAAAATATTCTTGTCATCTTTGTTCTCACTTTTCGGTCACTTTCACAGGACCACAGAACCTGGACCCGGTTCTTTCAGAACTTTCCGTTTAAGGGTCACCACCGACCTCACTCTGACCTCGCTCCCTGTCCCATAATCATCATGACATATGGTTAAGCTCCGATCAGTAGTGATTAAACGCTAACCGTAGATAGCTGCTGCTGCTGGTAGAATCAATTGCATGCTGATTAGCCCTGATTAACTGGAGCTGTGGGTGGACTGCTCACTCATGAGATGATTTCTTAATTTGACTCCTAGTTGAGCAGTCTGGAATGACTTCCTTTTCCACTTTCCACTTTAGAGGAACTAAATTTAGTCATAAACAACCCACAGAAAGAGGCATTTAGTTCTAATCATAGCTTCCGCCTGGCAACCTGCCCTATTGTGTTCAAAAGACAATTCATGAGTTAAAGGAGGGGGGGGGGGGGATTGGGGTTGTTGTTTGTTACCTTCTATGCCAGACGCTGTAGCGATGTAGACTTTTTCTACATGGATACAACACATAGTGCCCGGCCAAACACGGTGGCGCTGCCAAATCTGACTTGGCTGCGTACTAAAGCGGCTGGCACCTGGGCACACGGCTGTTCTCCGCTTTCTCACTGAGACTGTAGCTTTGTATTAGGAGGACGGCTGCGTCTGCCGTTTCCCAGCGTGCAGATTGAAGTTGGACTTGAGTGCCTCTGCGTGCAGGGCTCACTGTGCATGATGCTCAATACCCGGGTTCGGAAAAGTTAGACCCTGTAACAAACCCACAAAGCAACTTGTATTGTAAATCTTTCTATGTTTGCTTGCATTCATTCCAAAATGTACAAATTCTAATTCATATACAATTAACACAATGGTTTTTTTTTTTAAGTTACCTGTTAGCACCAGAGATCATTGAACTCGCCAGGATTGCTCTTCTGGAGAACCCTGTATGACAAGTATCAATTCATTAAACTTTTCAAATGTCAGTGGGAGGAGTAGAAATGTCAGCGTCTTCCCTTAAGTTGTGGAATTTAACCAGCAGGGGCCGAAAGCGATCTTAACAACTACGTGAATGTCAAGTAAATCACGCAGGCTCCTAGAACTGTGCCAGGTCAGTCCTAAAGGTTCAAGTCCTTAATTCCTGCCATTTACAGATCAGCAAAAAATCAGTCTGTCATGCAGTAGGATGGAATTTCACCCACATCTGGATCCGTCTGTTGTGTGGAATACAGACGTCAACTGCCAGCGGATAGCTTGGTCTAGCTGGTGCCACGTCTGGTTCTGCACGTCTGAGCAAGGATCTGGCGTCTGATCAGAGCCGGGGGGGGCTGAGGGTGGGCTCTGTGCGAGATGCCTGGAAAGTAGCGGGGCTTTCCACATTTCAGCGGCGTCTAAAACTCTTTTGATGTTTTGTCTGGCTTCCTCTGATGTTCTGGTTCTGTGTGACAGACTCTGCCTCTCCCTCCATCTCAAACATAAACCCCTTCCCTCACCTCCCTCCAGTCTAAGATTGCGTGTCTCCCTTTCTGAATTGTGTTAGGGGGGCTTATAGAAAAATCTATAACAGGTGGGCTGTGTTTGAAGGATATGTCTTTTCTAATTATCTGTTTTCTGGGGGGATTCGAGTGGGTGGCCAAAACTCTCCTGACCTCTCCACTATGCCCATCTTTCAGTTGTTCCAAATGAGTGATCTGACATGCGATACACCGCAGGCCTGGTCAGGTGCCTGCAGTTGTTGCATTAAAAGGAAAAAAAAGGCATCTGTGTGATTAAGATTTTTTAATCACATCAGTAATATGGCTTATAGTGTAAACACATGCTTGCCATTGCTTTTGAAGGAGCTGCTGAGCTGCCTGAAGGGCTTACGGCAGGACTGAGCCATGATTGGATTCTAAACTAAACAGAGCATTCATTGAAAGTTGATATTTAATTTGAGTTTGTGTGCTACAGATGGACAAACAGAAGTATTTCAATGCACACAATATGGAACAGTCACTTACAGATTTAAGCTCCTCTTTCTACTGTAATTAATTCCCCATAATGCCTCAACTGGGCATTTTCATTTTTAATAATAGAAACTATTAAAGTATCCAGATAAGGGTGATAAAAAGACTGGATTTTGAGCTTTTATTGTGCCCATGCCCCTTTAACCACAGACAGCCTGATGTCTGTGACCTTCCCTCTGTCCAAATTGCCAGTTTCTCATTCAGGAGCAAAAGAAGGTACCAGGCCGCTCTTCAAAGGTACAATTAAAACCTAAATGAGGTATAACCTTTGTAAAGATGATGTGGAACGCATTGGTTTGGAACAGCTTGTTTGTTTCCGTGCTGTTCGTTTGATCCAACACTCACACTCGGCGGCCTGGCAGCAAGAATTTTTTCTTGTTGCTCTCTAATATTTGTGTACAAGAGCTCATCAGGGAGTGCACTCAGCTCTATGTTGGCTTAAGTATTGGCTTGTGACCTGTTGTGAGGATTACTACGGCGTGATATGTCTGGATGGGACCGTGCCAAGAGCTGTGTTTCCTCCCAGGAACAGCTTAGACACTGTGGCAAAGACTCGGCCCCTCTGCGGAGGGCTCGCCCTTTCTGAAGGGAAACCTGATCAAATGGATGAATGCATTAGCTCATTTCACTTTATGAGCGGATGCTAACGCTGATTAGTAAAGTGTTGATCACCGCACAAGGTCTGGGAGAGAAAAACCCCCCTTTCATGTGTCAAACGCTCTCTTTCTTTCACACCTGTAGTGCTTTTGGTTGCTCTAGTGGCAACTTAAAGTGTCACGTGTCAGCTTGCCTTTCGGAGCATTTTTTGGGATTTTGAGGCTGAAATTGAACTCAATGAGACTCTGGTGTCACTATTGACACAGAACAAGAGGCCTCGTCTGTTGCTCTTGGGCTAGTTTAACCAGTTGAGCCGGTTAAGAGTTATTTGACAGTTGGTGTCGCTGAATAATGGGATTTCACCTCCTTGTCTCTGACAAACAGCAGGGATAGTGCAGAGATGGGCTCTTTAGGTCATCTAAACTCTTTGTTGTTGAATCAATTGCATCTGCTCTTCCTACCGTCCGTCAGCCCTCTGGTGGATGGCAGTTATGGTTCCGTCCCACACTGCTGTCACACACCTGTGTGGCTCCCATGGTGATGCCAGCTGTGGTGGCGGCGTGGCATGAGGCTGTCTGAAGACTCTATTAGCAGATAACAAGCATTACATTTGCACTTGTTCTCTTTAAATCATTTTGATGGGCAAGTCTGAATAAAAGGGAGATCGACACAAAAGTGGCGGATTAAGCCATTCCAGTTACATAGCTCCTGTGGGAAAAAGGGCTGTGGATTACCTAAAACACCCAGTCGGACTGAACTAAAGACCGGGCCTTTGGCAGGTTATTGACTGAAGCCTCAATCTGCCACCGTTGATGAGTGAACTTTAACATCACACAGAGAAGCCCCCTGCTGCTGCCAGTGGGACGGTGATTAGATTTATCCAGCCTCCAACGATGACCCGGCTTGTCAAGGAGGATTCTCCTGTGATCGTGACCTAGTGAGCAATGCTGGAATCCAGCTGACGTGCGTCATAGAGATTTGAGGAAGCATAAAGCTAAAAGATCTGGGAAATCTCCTCAGTTTCTTTTACATGGTCAGGAAAGCTGTCTATTGATAGGATCATCCCCAATAAGTGATAGTCGAAATATATGTCTTTAGACTTATTTAAAGTTTAGATTTTCTGTGTTAATTGTCACATAATTGATTGATTGAGTGTCCGTGCGGCCATCTTTTTCCCTACTCATTCCATCCAGGGATGTATATTTGATGACATCCCGGGTCACAGGTAGAATAGCAAGCCGGGGGTCCGGTCAGTGGGATGTGTCCAGTGGGCTTCAACTGCGTTTTTATTACATGAACCTCTAATCATTCCGCCAGCCGGTGCAAAGGGCTCTTCTGTACTGTTCTAACAATCTAAATCATCTTATTATACACACACACACACACACACACACACGAGCACACAGGCGCACATCCACACATACATATACAGTTTCCATGGAAACAGGATCCAGGGCTGTTTATGACTGGTTGTTTGCCCAGGACTACCAAATTTTTTTTTTCTTTTTCGCAGCCATGTAAAGACAGGCGATGAATCATTTGTTCTCTAAACAACTGGACACAGGGGAATGCCATGAGTTACCTGTCGCATGTGGGAATGCTCTGACTAGGATTTTAGAGGTGGACGTTCACTTAGACAGAGGCTCAGTCTTTTCCCCGCCCGGCTGTGTCCACCCTCAGTCCGTTAGTCTGCGATGCCGTCACACTGGGCCGTGTTTGCACATGCTTAGCACTGGCAGAAATGTGGACAATCACGGTTAATAGCCGCACACAAACGCGCATTCACAAACACACACACACACACACACACATGGACCCTCTCCAGCCGAGCTGCCCTCCAGTGGCCTAATGTGTGTCTGAGGTCCAGATGGCGTAGCCACGGGAGGGCTGCTTCATGGCGCTAGCCGTAGAGCTAACAGTCTTAGACTGGGTTCACTGGGGCTGGTAGAGGAGAAAGCCTTTAGCCAGATACACCTCCGAGGAACAGTGAAAAATGCACTGTCCAGTTACTCGCCCAGCTCTGAGGCCTACGGTTAATGCAGGAAAACGGGCTCTTTTTTCCCTCTGGAGCAAAGCGCCCAAACCGTGGAGGAGCACCACCAGTTTTGACTCGTGGTGTCTTTGTGGGTTTTTGGTTTTGTTAAGGGCTTTGTTTTTAATGGGCTTACATCATGTGTGTGTGTCTGTGTGTGTGTGTTCATCATGACAGGAACCAAGCTGAACAAGGACCTGAAGCATTATCTGAGCCAGCGCTTCCAGAAGTCCTCCCCGGACCACGAACTGCAGCAGACCATCCGCAACAACCTGTACCACCATGCAGTGCCTTGTGAGTCCCATGCTCTTTCTACGCCTCCTCCCGCCATCGCCACCTTCTCATGCCCCCCCCCCCCCCCCCCCCCCCGCTGAGTTCTGCTGTCCCCTCCGTGTCCTGGCATTTATGAGCAATCTTATAAAACTCACTTGATCCGAAAGCTTCCCACTTGAACACGAGAATTACATCTGCACACACACCGCTGCCTCCGAAGACCAGAATTTATTTCTTTGTGCGTCAAAATCTTAGCCAAAATAAGCTTTAGGCAAGGCGAGAACAAGTCATGTTCTCAGCTTTGGCCGCGATTAGTTTTAGATCCATCTTCTGATTGAGTGTCGTCACCTTGCAGACACTTGACACTGTATCTAATTAAAGCTGACTGTTTCAGCTTAATCTGGCCGAGGCGGTGTTTGTCTCTTTGAAACATTGGCAGTACAGTCGGTGAGGCTCATTAACACACATTCTCCCCATGACAAACCTCAACTCAAGTCTTTATCGTTTTTTTAAACGTTCTATCTCACCGCACATCCTCTTCCTTCCCAAAAGTAAACTTTTCCACCTGTCTTCCAAAGAGATGAGCGGCGAGTTGATTCCCAGTTAGCCATGCGACACCACCCCCCCCTTCTGTCAGCACAGTGCTTTCTTTGATAATATTGTCTTTTTGGGTGGAAAAGAGTTCTTGTGGGGCACCTTCCACACAGACATACAGGTATGGCTGAGGTGGGTCACATGGAGGATGCAAACATGAGGCTTTCATGCGCAGAGGTGTGCAACAATGGACTGTGCTCCTTCCTCTGAGGGTAGATTCACATGATACCCAAAAAGAAGGGTTCATGAACAATGCTGCCTGATGCCCCTTAAAATACCAGCGGCCTCTGGCATTTCCTAATAACTGTTCATCCTGCTCTGCAGACATATTTTATATCATTTTAAATATAAACAAATACTTTGAGTACCTCCTGAAATCCATTGACTGGAGGTAACAGAATTTGTAGATTATTTTATCGGGTCATTAGTAAATTACTTTACAGAATTTTTTATTTTTTATGTTTATTCATTTATGTTTTTTGCTTCTGATGTTAATATCAGTTTGAAAAAAGGAACGACCCTCCTTTCCTCAAACCCTTCACGGCTCTCATACACCAGCTTTTTGGATGGTTGATTCCTGGCCCTCTCACATAAATTACTATCAGTATTCAAAGGGCCTGTTTAAGGGATTTAATCTGCATTATGTCCGTGCCATATGTCAACCAGACACTGGTTGAGTGTCTCAAGCGATTGTGTCAGTGGTAGGTGGGGGTCTGGCCATAATGCCCATTTTAATTACTGAGCAGTCTCAGGCCCCCCCTGTGTTGTTTGAAGGAAGCAAAGCATGACGGTGTTCTCCGGGCCACTAGTTTTATGGGGCTGTAAAGTTCCTTGTTGTCATACACTTGTGTTGGAGGTGATTTAATTAGCCTTCGTCACAGCTTTTCCCTCGCATGCCTTATATGACGGCACGCGTCGGACGTGCTAGCGGATGTCGTCCTTGAGGACAAAAGTGAGCAGTTGTCTAAGTTTGTGTCTGGCCCCTCAGGTTTGACTGAACAGGAGAAGGGGTGAAAAGAATGTGGAGACTCAGCTCAGTCAACCTTTTCACACTTATCTCGCTCTGTGGTAATTCCAGTAAACTTTCCCGAGCCTCTCCCTGTTTCTAATTGAACCGGTGGTTAAACTTGTGGATATGGCAAACTCTGGGGATCTGTACAGCTCCATTCTGTCGTCACTTATGAGAGCTGCAACAACCAATCGGACACTGGAGGCAGCATGGCCGTGGCTCCTCTGCTGATTTTCTGCAGTCATCCGCTCATTGCAACATCCTGCCATAAGCTGCAGAGCATGAACAGAATACAGTTTGGTAGATTAAGCTCTGTCCTGTGACACCCACGCATACTGTATTGGCAACATCCCAAGAGCTCGTGACAGAATACTGAATTGCTGTCTTGAGTGGTTTGTCTCCTATAGAGTGTATGACATAGATGGCTGCAAATCCACAGTTTTTTTTCCTTTTCACATTACCATCTTGTTCTTTTAAAACCAAAAGCTAAAAAGAGAAGTGGCTATTCTAACAAATGTAAAAAGAACACTCTCACGCTAAAGAATTCTTCAGTCAGTCTGCTTTAAACTAAAGTGGGACTACAATCTACATCATTGGCACATTGACATCTTGAAATATCAAAGTTCCAATGAATGCCACCATTAGCTATAAAAACTGTTTGTCTTTGAGTGAGCAGAATAATTTATTTTTCCCTCCTGCTGCCTTTTGGTTGTAAACTTAAAATGCAAAACCTGTCATACTCCAGCATTTTTCAGTTATGAAAAGTACTTTGGATTTTTGATTTTGCTTCAGTCATTCAGTACTCAGCTCATTTTAAATAATGGGATAGAAAAGGTTATAGAAATCTGAAAACAAAGCTCCATCATGATCTGGTCCTTGAAAAATGTAGATGGAGGCTATACTTAACAGTGTAATTCCATTGTTTTTAACCTCCACAAAGAAAACCCTGAAAATTACGTAGAAACAACAAAAGATTTCCCACCTAAGAATTAATGTGGAATAAGTACGTTTTTCTATTTCCCTCTCTCATATATGTTTGTCCAGAGTTAACATTTATCCGCGACCACTTACACATTAAAAAATAATTATGACAAATGATCCACTCACTGATCCACTGTTAGATGTCTTGTAAGACTCTAAATTGAGTTCACTGATCTCCATTCCCAGGCTTTTCTTCTTGTGGAAAAACTTCCTGTATTACTAAAGTTGTATTTCTATACCACAACACCTCAGTGTGTGGATTTTTCTCCTCGGACATTTAGCATGCTGTTTACCGGCACAGTTTGTTAAAGCTGCAACTAAGATGGAGAGCTTTACTCAGAATAGTCTGTGACATTGTTGCCTGAAGGAGTAACTAATATGAACTAAAATGACAATGGAGATCAGCATGCATCGCCCTAAGAATGTGCCACAGCCACCTAGCCCCAGGTAGTTCTCGTGTTGGGAAAAGTATACATTTGTTTTAGTTTTTTTTAAACAAGTTTCCCAGCTGACGTGCTCAGAAAAAAAACAGCTGTTCTTCTGACTGATCACATTTGAATCTCTGCACTCATGTCCTCCCCCACCCTCCGAGGCATTTGTCAGTTTCCCTTGTGGTCACTCTGTCCTCTTGTTCAGCATTCCCACTCTCCCATTATCCCCACCAGCCCTCCATCCCCTTTATCCCGCTCTCATTCCTCCACACCCCCCCCACCCGCCCCCCCCCCGCCCGGCACCTCTGTTCATGACACCACTGCCTCATGTCGTCCCGCTGCCTCTGCTACTCCCTCTCTCTCTCACTCAGTATCAGTCTTTGTCCTCCTCCCTCATTTCTCCTGCCAGTTGTCAGCGATCGGAGCAGTCACAGGAAGAAGCGGACTGGATTGCTCTGCTCGGTTCATACTTGTTTTCAGAGCTTACCGCTGACTGTCAGCAGGGCTTGAAAAAGGGGGCTCTGGGCTCTCCTGCACGAAGGCAAGTAGCAGTGTTGTGTTCTAATGGCTGTGTGGTCACGTCTTAAGCGAGCAGGTCTGCAGACGCCCGTGTTCACATGCGTGTGTCATGGATTGCGGGGCTAGCCGTACAGATGATTGGACGACCCGTATATAGGCTAAGAGGACAGCTCGAAGGGAGGTGGGGGCTGGAGCCGCGGGGATCGTGATGGGGGTGGGGTGGAGTTTTGATGTGGGAGGGGGGCAAGAAGGGGGATGGGCAGAGAAGAAAAATAGTGTGAGAGGGAATGGAAAGATTCAGAAAAAGGGTTAAAATCAGCCACTATAACATCATGAATCAATGCTGAATCGGGCTAGCCGGTCCAGCAAATGTAAACCTCCATCCACATATGGATTATACTACCACATCACCCCAGACCACCCTGCACACTCTAATGAGCACGTTTCAGCCTATCTACAGTGTAAACAAAGCTACCATTCTGGTGCCGGTTCATCGAGGGTGCAGATTGCACCCACAGATGCAATCGTTGTTACAACTGGACCAAACAAGTGCCGTCACATCCCAACACCTGTGCCATTCCTAAAGGAATAAGGTGGTGAATTATGAGAGAAAAACCAAGGGAAAGAAGGAGGTGGGATGGATTGTTTTGACTGTCAAAATGTATTTTATGTGTCTGGTACAGGGAAGTCGAGGCGTTAGGTCAATGTGGACACGTCTTCCCAGGGATGAACCCTCAAAGTTCTAAATTAGTTGTATTTATCAGTTTGTTTGGGAATACATGAGTTTTTCTGCCCGGTTGATGCGATGGACAGAGTGGAAGTTAGCTTTGTTTACATAGAGAGGAATGGTGAATAGTTGATGACTCCAGCTATGTAGACTCAAATGTGGTTCAAAAGAAAAGAGGGGGAAAATAGAATTCACTGTGTGAATTGCCAGATATCTACCTACTTTACATGGCTGATCATTGCAAGGTAGGAAGGAAAGAACTGATGCTCATGGAGCATCATACGGGTTTTCAAACATCCGCTATCCTCAGCTGTAGGCAGTGGAACACTGTTAAACAGAGAGTGAATCACAGTGTTCTTCTGATTTTGCACACCCAACTGTTTGTTGCAGCATTGTGGGGGAAAAAAAATCCTCAAATCTAAGATGCACATATTCAGAACAAGTCTAACTGAGTTAAGCTTTGAAATCCCTGCCTGTAGCTGAGGATGTGTTTTGAGATGCAGGATTTGCACAACAAATACAAATTACAGTCATACCTTTTGATTTAGATATTACATATATTAAGCAAATTAAATATTTTTGACTCATTGTGCTTTATACAACTTGGCACCTCTGCCTTGCTCTAAGAAGGTGCCCTGGTGCATATCCTGGTTTGGAAGTAGTCTGGGACTTTAGGGAGGAGGTAATGAAAAGTTCAGTATGTCACAAAAGAGCCCAAACTGATGTCATTGTAACCTGGTGCAAGCGTGAGTGGCATGTT